TCAATTATTGCCATTTGTCTCTTTTTTATCTCATTAATACCATTTAGTGTTATAGAAAAAAATACATTACAAGCATTACCTGGTGAATTACAAAATTGGTATAATAAATATGAACAATATCATATTTATAATGCTTATGGTTTATTTCGATCGATGACCGGTGTTGATGGACGACCAGAATTAATTGTTGAAGGAGCATTTGAATCAACAAAGTAAGAAAGATAAAGAAAATATATTTTATTAATAATAATAACTTTATAAATTGTATAATATATCTCTAGTTTTCTATTTTATTTAGTTCAAAAGGTTTACAATGGAAAGAATATGAATTTCAAGCAAAACCGAGTATACTTTCACATTCAACAACATTTGTAGCGCCGCATCAACCACGCTTAGATTGTAAGTGATTTTTTTTGTTTATATTTTATTCTTCATTTGTTGATAAATTATTTATTAATATAATTATAGGGCAAATGTGGTTTGCTGCATTATCCAATTATCAACATGAAGCGTGGCTTGCCAATTTTCTTTATCGTTTATTAACAAATCAAAATGAAGTATTAAAATTAATTAAATATTCACCATTTGCTAATAAACCTCCAAAATATCTTCGAGTCATGTTATATCGTTATAATTTTACAGAATTAGGCTCATCAAATTGGTGGAAACGTGAATTATTAACACGAGAATGGTTTCCCACAATTTCTTTAGATACACAATAGTTTATTGATTATATTAAACATCAAGATATATTACAAATAAAATCAAAAACAATTGAATTATCCGTATTAGTTATTTATTTGCAAGCAATACATTCATTTAGTGATAAAATGAATCCTATTTTATTTACATGGTTTCCTGTTTGTTTTGCATTTATTATACTTATTTTAAAAAAATGTTTATGTTCAACATCGAATTATTATATGAAGAGCCGACAATCCTATCAAACCGTTAGTACATTAGATGGCAATGATGAGAGTAATCATCGATCCAATAGAGTTGATGATCGTTCTGGAAAAATTTTGGATAAACAACATCGAGGTAGAACAGATCAACAAAGAAAAAATAATTAAAATTATGATTTGGATGTGAATATGTCTAGTCAATCAATATAGTATTCATCTTCAAATCTAATTAATTATATGTTAAACAAATTCATGAGTCTCGGTGATAGTTAACGAATATGGTTTTAATTTCATGTTTTTATTTTGTTCGTTGTTAAATTCATTCTTTTTTTCTTGTTCTAATTATCGTCAAACGATCTTTTTATTTTATTCATGTTTTATTGTTATCTGAGAAATTGCTTACTGAGAGAGCATTTTTTTTAATCCACATACACAAAACAAAGAGTACAGAGAGGACTAAAAAGTTCAATTGTCAAGTACTTAGGGCATACCAAGAGTAGTGATGTCGGTACTGTAGTTCCTTATAAAAAGCTTAAGAAACTTTCTTTCTATATAGTCTGATAGAGAAAAGAATGCTCTATTTTTTTATGCTATTTGATCATACTTCAACTAATATCATAATAATAAAATTTCGACAACATTTGCTTCGGTCGCATGTGTGACGGTTATATGAATGCTCATTTCGAAAAAAGCAAATGAGTATTTTTTGGATAACTTTCGACAGAAACAAGATAGAGAATTGCGGTTTTCACCGTTGGAAAGAGGAGATGAAGATGCATCGAATCCTATATCACAGGTTTTCCTGACCTACCTTTTATAGGGTTTTCAATTGACCTTTTTAAGAACAAACCTTTCCCGTAAGTTGTTAACAGTGAATTTGCAGTTATCAGGTGTACACTCGAATCGCTAATCGAAGATCTACAAACTGAGGAAGGCTCAGATATTTATATTTAATTATTCTGCAATAAAATGTATTCTAGTCGAGCCTTTGATACGATATTTTACCAATTTCTCTGAAAAAATTCACTTTTTTGCTTTTTCCGTTTTCCCGACAGTCAGAAAATTGAATAAAAAATTTTCAGAAACCATATTAGAAAAAACAATAATATAGGATTCGATACGTCTCCATCTCCTCTTTACAACGGTGAAAACCGCAACTCTCTATCTTGTTTCTGTCAAAAGTTATTTACGAAATACTCACGAGCATTCATATAACCGTCACACATGCGACCGAAGCAGATGTTGTCGAAATTTTATTATTATGATATTAGTTGAAGTATGATCAAATAGATAGAAAAATAGAGCATTCTTTTTTCTATCAGAAAGAAAGTTTCTTAAGCTTTTTATAAGGAACTACAGTACCGACATCACTACTCTTGGTATGCCCTAAGTATCTAGAAAATGTTTCGTGCTTTACATTTGTATCATCGTTGATGTGTGACTCAGATCATAGAATAGAATTAGATTTTTGCTAGTGAGATATCTATATCGTACTGACAGTAAATATTGTGATTTAGTCAGTTAGTGGATGTCCATGCCGTGTTGTTTAAGTAAAATTCTCTCAGATTAGTGACAATGTTTGTGTTTTTTGTTGACTGTTGTGGTATTTATTCGTTAATATCTGTTTTTTCTATTTGATTGCTTATTTAGTAGTTGTTTTTTTTGTTTAGATAAATTGTTTTTTCTTCTTTCTCTTTAGAATGGTCATATATTTCATCAAGTATCATCTTTGTGTTTGGCATTATCCAATGATAATACGCATATTCAAATGGAAAAATGTGATGAATCAAATTAGACTTAAATGGTCATGGAAACGAAAACCATTAACCGAGTCAGCTTCCTAACGAAATGTATCAAGCTCATTTTGTATTCTCTCATAGGCAAAGTTAAGTCTGAAAGAAAATTTTTGATTTAATCTATTTTTTTTGTCCTTTTTCTCATCTCTCTCTCTCTCTCTCTCTCTCTCTTTGATAGTGACGACTTATGAAGAAGAAGGATGCGGTGCGTTTTATTGAAATTGTTTATAATTTGTGATCATTTTGTTGTTATTTTTATTTGTTTCTTTTTTTTCTTTTTTCGTGCAATAATGTCCAACCGAAATTTGATAAAAAAAAGAACACTGTTTTGTTTTTTCTCTGTGCTTTTCTTCCTTTCCTCATTATCTCGACTATAAATCAAATGAACAATGTTACTTTCCTACTGTTTTAATTTTTTTTCTTGTTATACTCTTCTGTAATTTTATTATTTTTCTTCCTATTTTTCAAATATTATCACCATGCTCTTGCTTATTGTTATTCTGTTTCTTTTCCTCGATTGTTGTTTTTTCTGAAACTGTAACTCTAAAAAAACGAAACAAAAAACAATAGCGGTATAAAAGAATATAAAAGAGAATTGATGACACGTGGTGAACAGTGCTAAGTTTGTTTTTCTTTTGTATAACGGGGAACTAACGGGTGTTGTAAAAGGTTAGTGCATGTAGGATAAAAAAATAACATTATGAATCAAAATGAAAGAACAACAGTTTATATTCTATTTTAAATATCACCTAGACGCGTCTTTTCCGCTTCAATATTGACTCAAACGCACCTACTTGCAGTTTTAATTCCATCATTGAATTATTAGATGAATAAGTAAGAGAGAAAAAAACTTTTTCCAAAAAGAAAACGAAAATAATCATACTAAAATTTTCTCACAAACTCACTTACATTCTTTTTTGTTGGTTTACTGTTGACATAAAGTGCAGTACAATGACACGAGAGAAGAGGAAGCAAAGGTGTGTAGGTATTTTATCTTATCTTTTATGCACGTAGGCATTTTTAACTTCAACAAATTTCATTCATTCTTGTACATTAAATGTCATTCGTGTAGTACTAGTGATCGCTGGTAAAAAGATATACATTTTTTATCAATTAATCAATCAATTTAGGTCCATTTGACAGGGGAATTATATCTGTCATTATTCTTAAATTGTTTCTAAACCACTAATATGATAAAGATACTCATTTTCTCGGTATATGCAGAATGATACTTTTTCATATACTATTGTTTAGTTTCTTACTATGTGTGTACAAAATCTCTTGTTCTGATAAAGTAATAAAACTATATTTATATGCTTGTAAGAATAAGACATTATATAACATGATAAGATGCACCGTCTTATGGTCAAATGAACTCGTTTTAAAGATATTTACAGAAAACTTATACACCGAAATTGTTACTTATCTCTGGATGAATAATGCAAATTTTTCACAACTTCAAAAATAAACTGTTATTAGTTTGTGAACTGCTGCCAAAGGATATTATTGATAAAGTCAAACTAAGTTACCTTTTTTGAGGTTGCAATGGATCATTGCCGGTACAAACTGAGTGATAAGATGATTTTTTTAAACATTAGTAAAACAAAATTGATTCATATGTAAAAATATGAAATAAAAACAATATTATTATGAATTATTATCTAAAAGATTGTTCATTCAGAAATGTTTAAGTATTTCATTTCTCTTGATAAATAATAATAGTCGGTACCACAATGATAAGTAATAAGACAAAAGAACAATCATGTGTGTAGACAAAAAGAAGATATACATTGAGGTCACTAAAACGTCAAGTGAAAAAGCATAACGAAAAAATTATGTTTGTAGATTATGCCGAATGATATCAAGTTACCTAATTGAAATTGTTTTTAATCCTCATAATAGTATTACATATAGATATGCACATATGTAAAATATTTGAATAAAATATCAATCTTAAATAAACTCAGTCTAATATAGAAAATATAGAAGAACTATGTTAAAAAACGAAGAAATTTTTATTGCATCAGAAAACATAAAAATATTAGAAGTTTTATCTTGAGTATATTTTTATTTGGTGCTTTTCGTTTTGTTCGTATAACGTTGTAGTCCGAAACTACTTTTCGGTGATAGTTTTATTTGCATACGTTGTTTTGAATAGTGTTTAAGAATAAAAGAATCTTTGGAGAATCGTTCTGGTCACATCCCTCAGATAGAACTTTATTGTCTTACCTCTGATTTTGATGAAACTTTTCAGAAATGATGGCTGCGTAAAAGTGTAGTGACGAAATCTTTTTTAATTGAATATTTGAAATAAAATTAGCCAAAGAAATGTGTACTGCGCGACAAGATAAAAAGCGCCCACTAGAAAACTTTCACGGAAAAGCATAGTAAAAAAGCGTCGACAACAATGAGTCCATATAAATTCATCCAAATAGAAGCGTTAAGTAATAAGCATAGTATTTAAAAGCATACTACATATGTGAATCTTTTCCCTGCATTAGCTTATATGGGAAACGACCGATTTCTTGCAATAGTGGATCGACCCAGCGGTCAGACATGCTTCCAAATTTTAGTGGGGGCAGAACTGTGTCAAATATTATTTAGAAATCTCTTTAAATTTTGTTTTTCCATGTGACTAAAAGCATAAGAAAATATTCGTTCTCAAAAATGCGTCCAGCAGAAAACGTCCAGGAAAAAACATACCAAGACAAAAAAATCATTCACTAGAAAGCGTCAACTTTTGAACGCTTTTTTTTGCCGTGTGAAACCAGCCTTGTATTGGGTAGAATTCATATAAGCACCCGTCACATCTTACAATAAGCCAACGCAGGACTAATGTGATATTTATTCCTCATTTTATCACACATACAAGATCTTTTTTCAGAAAATGACACATCGAAGAATGAGAAAGGGCAGGTACACTTAGTTTATTACAATTTTTCTAGTTCCATTATAATGCTCAAATTATTTAAACAGCAAACTGCGAATCCACCGATGAATAATCAAACGAATCCAACGAAGGACCGTAGAGACAATGCCGAACCTGGTTTAGGAGCTGGTACAAACACAACACCTTATGATCGATCGTACATTAGAATAACATATGAAATCATTGAAGATGAAAGTAAATTTGTTATTTTTATAGATGTTCTATGATAAAATAAAATGTATTGGGTTTTCAAGTTCCATTTCACTAATCGCATACTATTTTAATTATTATAAAGTGACTAATCAATTAGATTCTCTGTTGTCGTAACCTCTGTCGGCTCTCGTTGACTCGAGTGTTTATATAATTCAATATGATATAGAGGGCAGTTCGCCTGAGAGAAAATGTATTGTTGTCGTGCACATTCTGTTAGTCGACTATCAGAAGAACAATTTATGATGTAGGCGATTGGCTTATGTCCTGATTTTGTTGTGCCTAATAGAGGATGTGTTTGAAAATGAGAGTATAATAGTGAAGTTTCAACATCTGTCAGTACCCAGTCTAATTTCTCAGCATACCCTCCTTGTACATATGTTACTTCATTTGATCCGGTAACCTGTGTTGAATGATCTTGTAGCCACTTGTACAAAATATGTCCACTTCTATTTGTCACATAATTGTCGTTTAAATTTTTAATTTTGAGCAATGCTTTAATAGATAATTTAATTGACGGCGATACATATACAGAAGTAATCACGAGTTTTTTGTCATTTTTGAGTTTCATCTCCACAATAACTAATTCATTGTTCTCAATATGACCGCTGTAAATGAGATTTGTTCCGAACAGCGATGAGAACTTCATCACCTCTGTAATCCCGATCCTGTCTAAATACGAAATAAAATGCGAGAATGATTTTATTTTTTTACTTAATTTTATTTCATTAATCAAGTAACAATCAACATCGTTAAGTGTAGATAGTAAATCAGATTTATATTTTTGGATAGAATTCACGTTGATATGATGAAATCGCATTAAATGAAGTCAAATGAAAGTATTTCGAAAATTGAGTCAACATTAATGAATGAGAACGATGTTGACTTCCTTAATGTTATAATTAATATTCTATTTCAGCAGTCCTCGGTGCAGAGTAAAATGAGCTACATATATTCTCGTTAGTAGTTTTCACTTGCTCTCCCTTTGGTACTGGTCCTGTTGTTAATTGTTGTTGAACTGGGTGATTTAGAATTAGACGTTGTTTGTCGTTGTATTTTCTTTGTTGGTGTAATATTTGGTGAAAACGTGGTTTGTTGACCATTGTTGTTGGCGTTATATCGAACAAGATATTTTTGTTCGATGGATTTAAAGTTGTTATTGGTGGTTGCACAGGCATTGGTGGTGCACAGGTAAAAGTGGAGGCACCATCATATGTCCTGGCTATTGCTTTTGTAGCTGACATAATTGCGGATGTCACCTGTTGTATTGCTGATGATAATGCATCAAAAATCGTCGAAGATAATCTCTTAAACATTTCTTCCATCTTCTCCGCATGATGATGATCCACACAAGAACAGTTATTCGACCATCGAGTAGAAGTTAACTGAGGAAAATCATCACCACATATGTCATGTGTTCGATTTAATTCTGTGATATATTTATCAGTTGTTTTTTGAATTTTTTCTTTATTTTTCAAATAATCAGGACATTGTTAACGCTTGAACGCGTTCTAAGGCTGTAAGAATGCGTCGCTTTTGAACTGTTCAAACGCGTTCTCACAGTCACATAACGCGATTGCTATTGAACGCATTCGAACACGTTCGCCAAGAACGGGTTCATATCGACTAGGAACATATTCAATGACAACACGTTTGCCTTATGAAGACGAGTTCGTCTTTACTAGGAATGCGTTCGAACAAGTTCCGAGGTGTTCTTTTTTACGCAGAACGCGTTCTTAGTCGATAAAACCCGTTCTGTTGTTTCGGAAACACGTTCTTGACCATTCTTTTATATAAACTTTTTTTCATGGGTTATCGAACAAAGAACGATAACTTTCACACGACGAGAATGGAGCACGATATCACGGTACATTGCACATGCTATGCCTCTCTACATTAAGTATTTCTTTCATTATATGAGAAATGATTCATCTCGTTCTTTGTTCGATAAGAGCAAGGAATAGTAACATCCTTATACGGTGTGGACGGAGTTGTGTTGCTTGTCGTGCCTTAACTCTGTCTTAACCGAAGGAAACCACCTGACGAGACCCTTGAGAAAGGTCGAAACCGGTCGTGGTATCTTCTTTTGATTCTTTCAGAAATGAATTCTATCAGAGTCTCTAGTAACTAGAAAAGCGGTTATAAAATTACTAAATACATTATCTTAAGTCGAGTTGAACATTCATACAGATTTATTGCTAAAAGTATTTCAGACACATCTAGTGCTTCAAACCTGCTGATAATCTATCAAACCTGAATAAATCTTTTGATTGATTTTGAATATTTTCGCTTCGTAAAATTTCTTCAGTTTGTAATAGATATGCTAATTCACTATCATCAGGAAATGATCCTTCTGATTTGTTGTTGAATGGAATGTTTTGTAAATCATCTGGTAATGGTATATGTTAAACTGTCATTTTTCGTCTCTTAATATTGCATAATACCTGTTCAGATTCTTCAAATCCGACAATATTTTTCTGCACACTGTTTTTTTCGCCTTCCATTTCTTGAAATATTCAGTGCTTGATCACTTCGTTGAAAAAAACGAGATTATCATTAATTTTGTTTAAAATGGATGAAATGAAACAGCATACTTTAATTTTTTTTGATACAAGCGAGTAATAATTTCTACTACTACTTCTACTTTTCTTTAAAACGTTTTGCCTATGCTGATGAATGTGACACTTAAAGGTTGATGTTGTTATACCAATGTAATGTATTGTACTTAACATGTGCGTCTCTACCTAGGTGTGCAGAAAACTGTAGCATGAGCGAAATTACAGATCCCATTATGAGTTTTAGCGGGATCCCTGTCTTCATAGCAAATTCCATGGAATCTCGTCGAGATCTGGTGGGAACTTGTATCCCGATAGAAAAATGTGTTCATTATTTGAACGATTATTCAATGACTCAATTACCGTTTTGTTTTGTATCGTACCGGCGCATAAATTATTTCTGTTCGCACTTTCATTCTTTTATCTCATTCTAGTCTGCTAGAAAAGTTTAGTCAAAGTCAATTCTGTAATTTCTTCATAACATAGCTAAACTACAGTTCTCCAACTTTGTGCTACACGGATCAATCATAACCTCTTTGATTACTTTCTTTGATAATTTTTATTCTTTTAGCTAATGTTATCTGACACATGTAAATTCAAATCAAAACAAGGAAAACATTTTATACAAAATACACTTTGAACAGAAACCTAAGTCTAATCAACAAACTATATTTTTCAGAAAAAAAACACATACGACAAAATATGAAAAAAGTCTTTATATCAGTTGATTGATTTTCCTGTACAAGAATTTTTCTGATGAAAAACACGAGTTCTTCCATCATGATGATCATCATCACTAGATGATGCTGATGATTCGAATGTAATTGGGCCAACGTTAATTGCTTCTTGATCTTCACTCACATAACACGATTTTAACTGGTAAAATACTGAAAATTTCTCACTGGTCGATCTCCAACGTCGTAATCCACATGTTTCAGGATGAATCGATAACGCTTTTTCGTCAATAATTTGATCTAAAATGCAGCAAAACAAAACAATAAACGAAATTAATTTCATATTCGTATTAGAGTCCAGCTGCGTTTCGCGAAGACGAGGAATGGCAGAAGCTAACCTACTGAAACAGTTTATTATCAGCTACAAGGTAACGCTCGTCTCTACTCGCTCGGTCCCTCGACTTTATTAAGTTGGACCTGCGCAAGCAACGTCCTTTGGTGACTTTTAAATCGAACACAATGCTCATGCCTCCCTTCGTTCGGCGCTCGCTGGGGGCCTAATTAAGGCATCTTCTGGAGTTTTGTTCATTTTTTATGTATGAGGTTCGTAGT